ATGTCTCGACTCCGAGTCTAGATCTTTTCGTACTTTGCCTTTAAGGTGGGTTCTGAGCATACCTGATCTCGAGATGTTAAAAAATGCTACTTGGAAAAAGGTAAAGAAAATTGAGAATTCTGAGTTAAAACCAAAACAAATAGGTTTCTTGACTATACTAATTTTCAGAGCTTCTCACTCACTAATAATACTTTGTCAATCTCCGAGGAAGCGTTATCATGTACAACGTTGGTCAAACTTACTTGGCCAAGAAACCTTTTTTCCAAAAAGCACCTCGTGGGCCCAGGGTTCTGCAGAAGACCCTAGGGAAGTACCAGCCTGCTCTATCTTGCCTCTTGTGTCATCTTCTGTTTTTTCAGAAATGTAAATTTCACTGCTGCCTGGAAGTCCATTGTATGGCTAAGCCAAATTTACGTTTCTGGTCCCTGATCGTTAGACGTTGACATCGGTTCCGATTTGTCAGCATTACTGATGATTCTGGAGTGAATTTTGGTTACTCTGTGCCCATCTCTGATCATTCCCTTCAGAAGTGCCATTGTTGAATCAGTGTATGAACATTTTCAAGACTCTTGATATTCCTTGTCTGGTTGTTTTATAGAAAGATTATGCCCACTTTATCCTTCTCCCAGTTGCTGGAAGTGGGGGCAAGGTTAGCATACATCTGTAAAAGCTAAGTCTGAGCAGCTTGAAGAAGACCATTCGCCTCCCTCTTATTCTGTGGACATACAACAGTTGAAAAATACACAGTCACACACACGAAGGACATACACAGCCATTTCTTTTGAGAGTCAGATTGGCTTTTCATAATTCCCCGTGCTGCTTCTAAATAATTAAAGAGTTATCTGAGCACTTTAATTTGGCATTCTAGATATTTTGTTGGATAGTTAGGAAAGAAGGGATTTTGAATTGGCTTCTGTCATGCTCATTTTCAAAGAACCTCTCAAGGTGAGATTTAAAAATTATATCAACCTCATGTGATCGGGAAACTGTTTCTGGAAGAACCTTTTTATGTAAGTGTTTTTATCAGTCTTAATTCAGACTCTACGGAAATTGAGTTATGTCGTGTCGAGTATTGAAGCTAATTGTGGTGCTTTTGTTTTTATATTTGTATGGGAAAGAGTATACACACTGTAGGCTAGAAGTGATTTATCGTTTTGTCCTCCACAAATATTATCCGTTGGTCAATGCATTATTGGGTTTTAGAACTGAGACTTGAACTTTTAACTCATTAAAACTCCCAAGCCCCCGGCAATAAAGTCATTTAAGTGGCTTCACCAACAGATTTATTTCAAAATGATTCCATTTGGGGGAAGGAAAGAACAAGTAATGCATTATATACAAAGATCTATTCAATAATTCATGAGACCTGCACACCAGTGACCATTTTAGATTCAGTTCATAGTATTGTAGCTGAAAATGAACTCTGTCTTAAGAAGATATCCACGATTTGCTCCTCTTTGTGCTTGAGTCCACAAGTATCTTGATTTTTGAGGTACAGATTTTGTTCCTACGTGGTGTGTTTACGTGGACCTTTCTTATTATGGAGGCTATATTGAAAAAAAAATGGGCGTTTTATATAATTGGGCTAAAAGGACACTTTATATGCATTCTTAACCCTTAGCAAAGCAGGAGTGTTTCAGAAATACGTTCCTTTTATCCTCCCTTTGGGCAGGAATTCTGACTTTATTCTCTACATGTGGATTGGACTGCTAAAGGACAGATTAAAAATAGATTTAGTGATGTCTAACAATTACAACAGACACCCAGTGTTGGGCACTGAATATGAAAGGCGCACATGGTAAATGGTCTGCTGTCCTCCAGGGGGTCCTGGCAAGTGGCCAGGGCCCATCAGCTGGGAACTCCTGGGTTCATCCTGAGCCCCATTCAACCCGTTCCCTTTTCTGAAAAACCACAGAGGCCCCATGGCTATTTCTGTTCAAGGTGGAGGCTTGCACCAGGGCGGGAGAGTTGAGAAAGAGCCTGTTTCCTTCCACACTCTGGAGAGTGCTGCCCTAGCCCTCTACAGCGCATTACGAGGGATGCCTTGGGAACTAACGTACTTCAAATCTCCAAGTAGGATCATTTCAATTTGGCAAGGCTTTATTCAGTGATAAGTATTATGTGGGAAACCAACACGAATGAGTGAGATGGTTTTGTTGGAAAAGCTTCAGGATCTATCCTTCCTTCCCTCCCTGCTCCTTATCCTACTCTCTAATAAAAATGGTTGCTTTTTCTTTTCAACTTAAAAACCTATGTAAAAAAATCATTGTAAACATTTATGCTCTACAGGCTCTCATGAGAAGAATGTACAAGTCACTAGAAATCCCACTGTTAACATTTTGAGAAACATTGTTGTAGCCGTAGACATAGACAGACCACCTCACATTCTATGCTAAATTATAGTATGCTTCATAAGCAGCTTCGAGACTGTTTCTTTCCCCCTTTAACTGTATGTAATCGTTTCCTAAAAATAAAAACCCTCACCATCATTTTAATTGTTGCAGAATATTCTGTTATATACAGACACCATTAATGCATTCTCTATGATGAACCGTTAGGTCGTTTTCAAATATTTGCTCCCATGTGTAACATAGGGATGAGGGCCATTGTGTGTGTGATGAGCTCCTTTAAGTGGAGTTGGTGGGCCGAACAATAGGCACATTTCAACTTTTGGTATATATTACCAACAGCGGCTTTTTTTTTTTTTTTTAATTTTTTTTTCAACGTTTATTTATTTTTGTGACAGAGAGAGACAGAGCATGAATGGGGGAGGGGCAGAGAGAGAGGGAGACACAGAATCGGAAACAGGCTCCAGGCTCTGAGCCATCAGCCCAGAGCCTGACGCGGGGCTCGAACTCCCGGACCGCGAGATCGTGACCTGGCTGAAGTCGGACGCTCAACCGACTGCGCCACCCAGGCGCCCCAACAGCGGCTTTTAAAGAGAGCATCTCTCTGTTTTTTAAATAAAAATTATATATTTAAGGTGTACAACATGATTTGATGTACATACACATAGTGAAATTGTTACGACAGTCAAAGTAATTAATATATCTTCTCACATAGTTACCTTTTCCCTTTGTTAAACGATGATAACACCTGAAATTTTCTCTCTTGGCAAATTTCCAGATTCAATACTCTATAATTAACCATAGGCATCAGGCTGTGCCTTCTATCTCTGCAACTTATTCGTCCCATGTAACTGCAACTTTGTAACCTTTCACCAACATCTCCCCAACCCCTCCCCTCCCTGTTCCTGGTAACCACCCTTCTACTCTCTGCTTCTATGTATTTGACTTTTTTAGATCCCATGTATAAGTGAGATCATGCAGGTTGTTTTGTTTCTGCATCTGGCTTATTTCATTTGGCATAATATCTTTTAGATTCATCCATGTGGTTGCAAATGGCAGTATTTCCTTTTTTAAGGCTGGGTAATATTCCACTGTGTGTGTGTGTGTGTGTGTGTGTGTGTGTGTGTGTGTGTGGTGTGTGTGTATACACATCACCTTTTCTTCCTTTCTTCATTCCTCGATAGACACTTAGGTTGTTTCCATGTCTTGTTCATTGCAAATAATGCTTCAGTGAACATGGAAGTGCAGATATCTCTTCGAGGTATTGAAGAGATTTCCTTTAGGCATATAACCAAAAGGGGGATTGCTGGATCATATAGTTCTGTGTTTTTTGTGTTGCCTGCATACTATTTTCAATAGTGGCTGCACCAGTTTACATTCCCAACAGTGCATCAGGGTTCCCTTTTCCCTTTTCTCCACATCCTCACCAATGCTTGTTATCTTTTTTTTTTTTTTTTTAAAGAGAGAGAGCATGCACACATGAGTCGGGGAGGGACAGAGGGAAAGAGAGAGAGAATCCTAAGCAAGCTCTGCACTCAGCACGGAGCCTGACACAGGGCTCAATCCCACGACCCTGGAATCATGACTTGAGCCTAAACCAGGAGCTGGACGCTCAACTGATTGAGCCACCCAGCACCCCCCCTCCCCCTTTCTTTTTGATAACAGCCATCGTAACAGGTGTGATATCTCATTGTGATTTTGATTTGCGTTTCCCTGAGGATTAGTGATATTGAATGTCTTTTTATAAGAAGGTCTTCAAATACATTCCCAGGTAACATATGAGAGTGCTCCCCTGCCTGAATCCATACCAACTGTGGATATAGTAAATCTTTTTAATATTTAATAAGTTACTACATGCCTCTTCATTGCTTTTATTTTCATTTCTTTTACTGTAATTGAATGTTTGAAAATATTTACTGGCAATTTATATCTCTTCCTTGGAGATTTAGCTACGCGTATCCTTTGACCATTTTTCGCCTGAGCTATCTTTTTCTTACTGGCTTTTAAAACCTTCCCACGATGTATCCAGATGTATCCAAAGATCTATCCTTCAAAATATTCGTAGACTCTGTATGTATCCTCAGCATAATTATCTATCATGTTTAGAGATAAAGGGTTCTAGTGACCAATGGGACTTGATGTGCTCACATTTTGGAATGGAGCTCATCTGGGTCACTGTGTTCATTTGAGGGATGGCAGCCGTGTAGGCTGAGGGTGGCTTGGGGAGGTGTCCTGGCTCAATGTTCCTCATTAAAGGCTCAGTGAGGGTCTTGTGATCTGTGCCAGTCTCTTCTTGTCCTCCCCTTGGCAAGCATCTTTTTCTTACCACTCTGTCATCCTAATGAGATGTCCGTGGATCCGTCGTATCAGATAAGTGATGAGCAGTGGAGAAAAGAAAATTCATAGAAGAGTAACATTTAAAGCAAAACGTATTTTTGGCCTTTTCCCAAAAGTGAATTTCATGGTCTATAAGCCACAAGCACATGTGTAGTCAAGGAGGAGAATTTATTGCCTAATACGAACCCTGGGAAAATTCTCAGGGGAGTTCAGGGATCTTACAGGGATAATGTAGGATGAAACTTTTATATTTTAATTTGAAGTTGCATGAAATGTGTTGACTTTGGCCTAAAACTATTCATTGTTCTTAAACAGTTTCATTCACTGGCTCCCATGTACTATCGTGGATCCGCTGCAGCTGTCATAGTATATGATATTACCAAACAGGTAAGAATGTCCCCTTCAAAACGGCCCCATTTGTGTTGATTCTCTGTCTTCAAAAGACCAAAACAGAGACTTGACTGCTTGTCATGCCAGGAGCCTGGAATGAGATTTCATAGCATGGTAGCCAGGGATAATCAACACCATCTATTGAGTTTATTCACCTGTATATAGTGAAGCATTTCAAATTTTTCTACCAAATTAAGTAAACAACAATGATCATTCATTTTTCAAATTGACCGTCTGCTCGTAGAGGCAAGGTCATGTCTGCCAAGTACCCCTCTCCAGAATGTCAGCCTTTTAAGTGGAGGAAAATGATTTGGTTAAGTTCTGCATGTTTTGTGATTATGGAATACTTATTTTCTATTAGTGTTTTCATCACACTACTTAAAATGTCAAGGATAATATTTATGTATGTATTGTATATATATAGTATATCACATTTTTAGTTGTCACGTTGGGGATCTAGGCTATTCATCAAGTAACTGCAGTGGTTTGCTGACTTTCTTTTTCCACTCCTGGAGTGCTGACTCAGCTCACAGGACTGCTGGTCTAATGATCCATCACTGTTACTGTCCATGAGTTCCTGACCACTTTCTACCTAGATGTGCTGTCTACCTTGGCTGGTTTGCTGGAGGATGGTTGGGAGTAAGGGCAGAAAGGAAATCAGGATTTCTCTGTCTCTCTGTCTCTCTCTCTCGTGTGTGTATTCTTTTTCTTTCCTGAAATAAGCACGAACATGTCTAGTCCTATGACTGAGTCTTTTTCATGCTGAGTCAAGGCTGTAATTTTCAATTGATGTTATTTATAGAAGAAAATTACTAACATGACTTTCTTCAGTTCATCAAGTTTCAATTTTAGAAAAGGAAAGTTCTACAGGTTATTTAAGTGTAACTTAGCTAATAAGTTTTGTGCCAGGACAGGGGTGGGATGTTAATGTACATGAGTTTCCTGAAAATATTTTCGTCTATTAAATTGGGTTGGGTTTACATTTCTACTTGGTTGAAATACTGTGTTGGTGGGTCTCTCCAATGATTGATTTACACTTTGGGTTTAGGATTCATTTCATACCCTGAAGAAATGGGTGAAAGAGCTGAAGGAGCATGGTCCAGAAAACATTGTAATGGCTATTGCTGGAAACAAGTGTGATCTCTCAGACATTAGGTAAGACACATTAAAAACTGTTCTTGGATAGTTAACATCCTCCGTCTCTGAATGTCCGCATGTAAAAAGCTGTCATACCTGTGTTGTTAAGGCTGTTCTCCGTATAATCTTAAGGTGATGTATCAAACCAAACACTTTGGTTTCCCGCAGAGATACTCAATTGTTGATCTTTTTTTTTTTTTT